TTGGACATCGTGGTTTTGGGACTGGGCGGTGGCGCTCTCTAGTGCCGCAAGGTTCCGGGGAGCGAAGAGGTGCTGCGTGGAGATGATCATAGCTTGGGTCTGAGAAATCGCCATCAGCACCTCCTCCGCAGCTCATTCAAGGTCCACGAACGTATTTTTCCATCAGTGCATCGCGTGGCTCGCGCACGTCGATGATATCCTCCGAAACGCCTGGATCCTGCGATGGTCGCACACCCTGCTTGAGTTCCTCGAAATCAATCACACGCGGTTCAAAGAGACACTGCACGGGCGTGATGTCAGTGTGTGACATATGGGCCCACCACAACCGGAGTTACCATAGGTGCGAGAATAATTTCATCGTAAGCACGTAAGCCGTACTTCTCAGCTGGCCTCCTTGGGCGTCGCACAACGAAGTCGTAAAGATTGAGTGCGACGTTCTCCTGTTAGCATGCCGCGTTAACAATACCGGTAGAGCAGAAACAGTATGAAGTTCCCAGTCTCACCTCCGTAAGAGTACACAGTCGGCTTTTCAGGTCTTCCATCACGCTCCAATCATAGGATCGAGCAAGGTCTATATCCCTATACGGGAAGTGGATCCTGTCAAGTAGGACATAGAGGAACTCGGTAATATAGTCTCCTCCCATATTCAGATAGATCCTAGCGGCCTCAGATCAGATACCTTAATGAACGCAGAACGGAAAGCCTCACCTTGTTTCGGGTACGACCATACCCTCATCTACGCATGCAATACTTACCGTCGTTGCGCCGATGTCAACGACACAAGCGCTAGATATCCCTGCGCCATAAGTCGCAGCTAGTGATTCCTGGCCAGCTCGTCAAGCGTGCCTTTTACCCAGGAAACTAGGGTGTACCTGCTGAACACACAGCTGCTTGAACCCCATACGAACTAGCAACAGTTGAATCATGTCGCGGACGTATGGTCGATCATAGTAGTCGGGTATCACCAGCACAGCTGAGTAGTCCTTAGCTGTTGTTCAATATATATGCGCACCCAGTCCTGAATGGAAAGACACCTTATATTCCTGACGACTAATACCAAGTGAGCCTTGCAAGCTTGTCTCGAGTATGGTTTCGATATCGTCGATAATCATAGCGACCGACGAGTAGTCTCTCATGTTGAATCTGGAGCCCCAAATCGGCCACCTCACGATATACCCCTGCTTTTGGGGATCTGCAAGTCTCAGTGCCTGCCAAAGCACTGTCTTAACGGACCTCTGCTCGGAAGTCAGAAGTCAGAAGTGGCTGGCTCACCTTCTCCCCAACATAATACTCTTCAGCTGCAATGTTGTGAATCCAATCCACGCAGAACGGATCATTCTGCTCCGGTATAAGTTCGGGTTTCAGTTGCTCGTTGAACGTCGCGGCCTTGACCGCCGCATCAGGCGTCACTCGGAGCTTATAGAACCGCATGCGGTCACGAAGCGACACCTGTATCACCTCTATTTTATCGTCAAACTACCATCGTATCGCGCACCGTCAGTTTCAGAAAGCGTGTCCGAGATATCCGAGAAGCGTAGAAGGGGAGGGATGAGGGTGAGGATGAGCAGGAAGGACGAACAGGAAGGACGCACTGGAGAATCAGACCCGCGCGCCCCCACGTATTCGTCGCTGTTGGTTGGCGGTGGCTGCAGCACGCGCGCACGACCCTTCCGCGGGCGCATGATTCCCTTAACAAACGTAGGTGCGGGAGCAATGATGGTCTTGCGTGCGATAACGTTTGGTACGGTTGTGGGCGTGACGTCGGACGCGCGGCCGACGCGCAGATACCGCGAGCCCAGGTGAATGACGACGACGTGCGAGCCGCGCCGCCCCTGCCCCGCGCCAATCCGCATACCATCAGCACATCATGAGTTTTTTTTTTCAAAACCTTGTACAATGTTCGGTTGGGTTGAGCGAGGGCGTTAGACGCACCTCTGGTGGCGTCTCGTCCACCGTGGTTTTGCTCCGTTGTGCCTTCCGGCCCCACATAGTATTCATCTCAGTTTTGAGATACGACGTGCTCATGTGTTTTGGGTTGAGCCTGGAGGGACCATTCTGGTGGGGGGTTATTGCGTGAGTGATTGGTACGTACTGTGGAGGCACATGAAATGCCGTGTAGCGCATCCCCTGCGACTCATCGCGTTTAACGTTGGGAATACCCCGCGGCATTCTATACGACGTTTTAATTTCGCTCGGGGACTAATACGTAGCTTTCCGAAGGTTTGATGAGACGTCTGAACCGATTGTGGTGGTGAGGTGGCTGAACGGCCGGAGAGCGACCGCTTTCATCGTGGAATTGAGAATTCAATACGAGTTGGTTCAGTGGCTGTGCCCAACACTCAACGTTCAACGACCACTCAACATTACAAAACCAAAAATCTCATCCTAACCAAATACATAGGCGATATGGGCTACAATCTACCAACTAACGTGTGAAACAAGATGATATGTCCTCGCTTATGCACGCAACCGGTCAAGAAACGACTTCAGAGGACTCGATAGTCTATGCTTGCGACTCCTCCCTTCGCACTCTGACGCACGCCGGGCAGTATTCTCATCGACCTCTGTGTGCCTTCTCGTCCGCCTCTGCGTACGCAGTGCCAGTGGGCTATTCTCCTTACCCTTATCCTTGTCGTGCTCCCTGACGAGCAGCGAGAGTGTCTTTACCGCACGAGAATTGCTGGAGGAGGGCGATTTGTCAGACAATCCTGGTGTAGCAGAGAGCGTCGGCGAGTTGAACACAGAGCCGCACAAGTTCACGTTCTGGGAGGGAGTCGGCTGAACAGAATCGCGTCTGTTCACCATGAAGACGCGGGTAGATTCTTCTGTCGCTGGGGCTGCATGTGGTTGTCTTGACGGGCTCTGGATCTCCAATTCCTCAGGAACAAAGCATGCACGCAGAGGAGACGGTTGAAGCGGCGGAGAGCCCGCAACCCCCTTCGGTGTACTCGTACGAGGCTGACCATCCCACGATGAATTCTCCTTACCATCGTCTGGCTTTGGCATGTCTGCAAAGCGGACACTCTTAGCACGCTTCAATATCCCTAGCGGGCGTTTGATCGAAAATTCGCTCTTTGGATTGTTGGGAGAGCTGGGCGCGAGCGTCCTTGGGTGACTGGGCGTGACAGGAGAAGGTGGTCTGAGTGACGGACAAGCTCTAGAGTCGCCTTGAGGTATATATTTCCTAGCTCTAATATTCGATGTAGCCTCGCGCAAATCTTTGCGTTGTCTTGCGACATCCGTGTTGTATCCAGGTTTGGCAAGGTCAGTACGGGGGGCCGAACTCGACTTCGGTCGATTGTTTGGAGTAGACGCCACCGGGGGGACGGAGGCACGCCGGATTCTAATCGTTTGAGTTGCCGAACTGGACCTAGGCGTGAGAGACTTTCTTATGGAGGGAGCTTGTTGCTGGCGATGTTTTGCTTTACTTGGCGTCCTATCTCGTACATGATCGGCGTAACGCAACATCAAGTCCTGCGCAAACGCCCAATCGTCATCGCTGACGCTTTGGACAATATCGGACGATGCCGCTGAAAGTGAATTCGCAGATGGATGTGGTATGCCTAGCAGAGAAGGGCAGGTCTCTGCAGGTGATGAAACTTTCAGGCTAGCAGCCTGAGACCGTAATGCACTGATCATGTCACCGATAGGGAGAGACTCGGCGTCGAGTTGAGTAATCGATGAAGTAAGCTGGAAATGGGGAGTGTATGCGGACGGGGTGCCAAGAAAAGCAGTAGGAATGCTTGGATATTCTTCAGGCGCACGCTTTGGAGAGTTCAGCGTAAGGGGAACAGGCATCTTCTGTCCACGTCGGATGGCAAGAGGTTCAGGAGCAGCAGCAGGACCTTCAGGCGAACCAGGGAGAGATATCGCAATGGTAGTAGTTGAAGTAGATACCTTGATAGCAGGCAAGGGCAGAGACGGGGCATCAATGGAAGCATCAGATTGAGCAGACTCAGTCCCCGTGATAGCGTCAATACGCTGTGACTCGAGACGGCGAATAATTAACTCTGTACCAAGATAGCTCGGTGGAACACCAAGAGACCAGCGGCGTAGTTTCGTGCGGGCGCGGACAGACGGATAGCTAATCGGAGTGTACGCTAGGGTGCAGTCTGGTACGCGTGTCTGACGCGTGCTGTGAGAGGCACAGCGACGAAGTGGACGAGATCCAGACGGCGACTCAGGACGCGAAACGGGTTTCGAGGTAGCAGCGAGACGAGAGGTACCGAGAGTAGATGACGGATGTGGGTCGACAGGGCCGTAGCGCTCGCGGAGACAACGTTTGAGGTAGGACGGAGGAAAGAAGGAACCTTCGGGTACCCAGACATAGTGAAGCTTCTCACGAGGGGGAGACCAAGGTGCCATATCAGGGGGACTCAAGCCGGGAACGGCGGACTACAAAGCTAATCAGCACCATGGCCCCACGGGGAGGATCAATGCTCACAATCCAGGTCTTTAACACCGGTTTCAGTTGCGGGACATTCCTAAGGCGCTCTGGCGTGGGAGATGAAACAAGTATGTTGGGATACTTCCTGTTGGGGCGATTTCCCTTTGGGAAGGCAAGAGAGGCCATAAGCGACAGGAACGTATGCTGGGTCCTTTGCCGTCGAGGTGTGGTCAGAGGGCATGGCGGAGCTTTGATGGGTTCAAGATCGGAAATAGGCAAGGAATCAAGACTACACGAAGGTAACAGCAGAGAGGGATAGTTATCTAGAGACGGGATGTCGTCGATGTTGAATGAATCAGTTGAGGAGCGTGAAAATAAGTCGCTCGAGGGAGCGAAGAAGATCGAATCATCAGAGCTGTCCAACCAGAAAGAGGCAGACATCCTCGATAGCGCGAAGTCTCTCAGTGCATGAGTGGTGGGCAAGACAGCTACAGATTGCGTTCGAGTAGGCAGCGGTCTCCAAAGTCACAGTGATGATGGAGGCTGACAATTGGCGACCTTCCATTGAATAATTGGCAGGCTTATGTGAGCCGAAATGATGACCTTCCATATTGGCCTGGTGGTCTAGTAGTATGATTCCTTCTTAGGGCTTTCTTGTCATTGGAGGAGGTCCCGGGTTCAATTCCCGGCCAGGCCCTATCATTTTTGTCCATTGTATCCGTGTTGCCTGCATAGCCTTTTTCTATCTGGTTTTGATTCTGAACGAAGGGGGATGGTAAACCTGTACGATGGTAGCCATAGAGCAACCCAACGAGGCGGGCAGCTACGCAAAGATGTGGCTGTGTGCCAGCCGTGATATGGCATCATGGCATGGCGGCCCTGGCACAGCCTTCCTGTAGCTGTAGTAATGTAACTCACTCCGCAGCACTTCTGCGCAATCTTTGCGCCCGGCGCACGCTTTGCAATAAATAGTCCTTGCATCGGCCCACTCGAGAAGTACAAGCCACATCTATTGAACACATCAACCCTTTCGTCTCCCTGACCATGATTGTTGACACTGCTCAAAGACAGTTCCTGAGCGATGTTAGCGGTTACAAGCTGGTATGCTCGCCCCCCAACACATGGCTCGGCTTCTGACCTCTAGGTGACACAGCTTCCCCCCGCCCCTGAGACCGAGGATAGCCCCCCTGCGTACTCGGTGCCTTCGACTACTTCCTCTCTGTCCACAGGGACTGTATCCCTCTCAAGGAGCAGCCAAGTAGTGGCGCCAGTGGTGCCATTTAGTACCCCAATCAATGGCTTGAACATATACACAAAACGGGAATCAATAAGCGGTGAGTTCAGCGGGTGATACTGTGATCATACACTTAACAAATTCCGTACAGGTTCTTGGTCACTCGATCCTCTGGCTCCCCAAGTGCCCGCGCACAATCTTGTGAAAATGTTCCTGGACGGTCTACCAGAGAAAAAATGCCGCCGCTCTCGCTCTAAGGGGGTACCCCCGACTGCAAAGTTTTACACTCGTCATGGCAGCATACAAACAACGCTTCGCGTCCTCGGAGACTCGTTAGCTCGTTCGGTTGCGACGATCCGTTTGGAGTCGCGCAGCGGTAAGATCGTCGTCGATCTGGTCAGTCGATAAAACCTTTCATTATAATTTTATTGTCCTGACAGAACACAGGTCTCTATCGCTCCTATGAGAACGGTACATATTGATGCATCCTCGCGCAAAGGTGCGTTGGGTCTCTATTGGGCTTTCTCGATGCCTCGTCGTGAGATGACTTCGGGACTGACTATACTGCACCGCAGGCAGCGTCACTCTTCTCGTTCCGCGGAGTTTCTCTGGCCTTGTCCAGCTCTCCTCTCGCAGTGGTGGGGTCGAGTTGCTTCCAGTCCTGGCGGCGTCGAGCCGCGTAATAAATACGAGGAAGAAAGAAACTACTGTTCTCCTGGGAGCTGGCTCAATGCCCATCGTGGGTTCTGATACCATCACTGATACTGCTCGGATCTACTCTCGCCATGGACGTGTGAGGCTCGGGTTCAGCGGAGAAGACCACTTCGCCGAGCCTCCGAAGCTAATGGAACAAGCTATGAAATTGGTGCAGAAACTCATCACCTCTCCTCGTCCCTAACATCCTGCCTGCTAGAGTGAAAGATGGACAGGGTTTCTATTTTTTGAGACTGATCTATGGTTCAGATTGGGATCGTTCCCTTGTACATGCACACTGTTATATTATCATATTATACTGTACTACTTATTACTTATATGCGGCTGGGCCCGCTATGAAATTTCCTTCCCACGTTTATTGTTCCGTTGTTAGCTGGCACACGACCGCAAGGCGGCGATCGCATAGCCGTCTCCCCGCTGATTTGTGCAACCCTTGATGAGATTCCAGTGATGTCTAGGTCCCTAGGGGATGTTGTCACCACCATGGGAAAGTGCATAATTTATGTTCCGGATTGGCGCCTACTTGCCTAACTGGCCGTAGAGAGTGATCCGGCGGTCCCGCATGTCGGTGACAGCCTTGTTCGCCTACAGGGCATTTGTCTTTTTGACCTGTAAAGACTTGTACGAGGCGTGATTCAAAAGATCTGGGATGGCACCACATGCTTTGATCCTCTGGACTACCTGAGTTGACGTCAATTCCTCTGCTCTCTAAAGCCGTTTGGGACATCTTCCCGCCCCTGGACTGTCAAAATCTCCATTGGACAGAAGGAAATGATGATCGTGACACCATTCGATCGATGGTGAGAGTCACCTCAGAAGTCCACGCTAACGTCGGGGTACTTTAAGTTCATCCGAATAAATATGTGCACTCTGAGTAATCTTCACCTATGTGAAATGATGAAATGAGTCGACCCAAGCGCCATCAAGGGCCTAGTTGACAACGTTCCATTTGAGCGTGGGTCGGGGCCTTACCAGCGTACCCATTTTCTGCGCCATGCTCTAGTCCTTGGCGGTCGAAGACTGGAAAGTGAAGGTCCCCTTCTCTACAACAAGCTTGTTTCCATGCGGACTTTTACTTTCACGGAAGTCAACATTCGTGATGAATGGCAACATACTAACATCGGGTAACTCTGCCCTACTACCGTGGATCAGATGCATCCAATTTGAGCCCGAAGACGAGAGGTGCTCTCGCCGTGCCAGTGCCGTGCTTAACTGCCAGTGAGCCCTTGCACGTCTCGAATGCCGAATGCATTGCATTACTAGTGGCCCACTGGCATCTCTTAAATGAGCTGCTAGGGTCATAAAACGTGACTGGATGAAACTGCGAGAGGTGACACGACCAGACCCTTGACACGATCTGTATGAGAAAGTGCTATCAACCACTGGTAGCGCGTGGTGTGGCAAGGTGTGTCCGTCCAGAAGCAAACCCAATAAATTTGCGTTCAGCTGATCAAGTCCAGTGCCAGTGGGATTGGGGGCGCGCAGCCGTCGTCTGAAACGTACGTATAAACTACGGTGCTGGGGGATGGCAGGTGCTTGGGGCGGAGAAACCCCGGCGCCGGGGGTGTCTGCCTGGCTGATGCGCGAAGGAAGGCCGAAGACCTATCGTTCCGAAATTGTTGCGGTGGAAGCAGCGGAAGGACTCCACTGCACTGCCTCACTTAACCGGCTCTTACCCGGCTCCAATAGCGGCTGCAATGGTGCGGGTGCGCTTACACCAACTCAATTCGGCTGCCTCTCAACTCAACGCTCGGCGCCCATCAACGCGTGGCCCAGTTATCTACTGCATCCCGCAGCTTGCAGTGGCTTCTTCAAGCTGCGCATCAAAATGCTGTCACGGCGCTTCCGGGAGATGACGACCTCTATAAACAGCTCTGGGGCTCCATGTTCGTCTGGATTTCTCCGTTCTCCAAGACAGAACTCGCACTCGCAGCCTTCTAGCAGCCTTGATTCTTTAATCGCCTGGCATGATACTTGATCACGAAAAGTCCAAGGGTGACCGTGGAGAGAAATCGGGACTCGATGGATATGTAAGTCACGATGCCTAACTGAGACTACACAGCGGTTAACTCACCTTTGGGACAGCCTGCTTACTCCGATTTTGCAGCAGTCCCGCCCCCATATTCCTCGGCGGGAGGCCCGTCCACTTCATCGTCTGTTGTAGTCGCGTCTCGTTCTGGCAACACGCTACCGATCGCAGCTCTACCACCTAGTGTTCCTACCAATGGCGTAAACATATTTACCATGCTTGAGCCCATCAGAGGTCTGTGAGGGTGTTACGATAGACGTGGAATACCTGGTCTTGACTTCCATTGTCCTCCAGGTTCTTGGCTACTCGACCCGTTAGCTGCACTATCTTCGGGTCCCTCCATTTTGCAGAGATTAGTTGAACACCGCGCTGGGCGGAGACCACGACGCTTCCGCAACATGACATTGGGAGCTCCAACTGCCAAGTTAGACTCCCGACATGGCAACATCTTTGCGACCTTCCGCGTAGTTGGCGAATCGGCCATGCCCGCGACTGCTACCATCTACTCCACATCGCGCACTGGCAATATCGTTCTAGAGCTTGTGAGTCGGTCTGTCCCTTCTCAACGCTGCTTTTGCCTGACATCGCGATGCAGGTCTCCAAGTCCCCCACGAGGGTGGTCCATTTTGACGCATATTCTCGGACGGGTAAGTCCAAGACCCTGCTATCAATCGGTGTATCTGAATCTCTAAAATGGGGGCGGTGCCCTTGCCATACTGAGCTTCTCCCTTATCATCGGTTGATTAAAATAAAAGCATCAATGCTGACTTTCCCATTCTGTAGGTAATATCTCCCTTCTGATCCCACGGAGCTTTTCTGGTGTCGTGGAGCTTCGGGCACTAAGTGGCGGCATAGAGCTGCTTCCAGCGCTCGCGTCGTCCGCACGTATTGTGAGGGCAACTAACAGAGAAACTGTAGTACTTGTCGGTAACGGCGCACTTCCTCAAGTAGGTTTCACCAACAATGGTGACCTTGCTCGGCTGTGCGCCCACTCTGGGCGTGTGAGGTTGGGCTTCAGCGGGGAGGACGCTTTCACAGAGAACCCAGGTGTCATAGCGATGGCTACGAATTTATTCCAGAAACTCACGGCCAAATCGGCAAGCCCTTGATCGATACTTATCACTTTTGCGTCTGCTGACTACTCTGATCCGAGTCCTGCGCCAAAGATTACTGTACGTATATGCCTGGCCTTCTGGCCACACTATGATGCCATCGTGTTCATGACCGCGAGCAATCCTGTTGCATCCTTGTTTGCTCTCTTGTACCGTAGAAATCAGACCATAAATACCTCGGTGGCTAATCGACCCCTTTCAGAGTGATTATCGCAATTGACAACGGCTTATAAGCCGAAGCCGGAAGGACGTCCGACAACCACGGAGGCGCGACAAACCCACGCAACGCTGAACTCGGCTTTCTGAATGGCGCGCAGGTGCCACGCGACCCTGCCCTCTGTAAACGCATATAAAACGGCCGAGGCTTCATTAAGTCCTGTGTACCACCCATCAACGCCGTGATCTCTAAGAGATGACCTCGAACCACCCCCGTGAGCGGTCTGGTTGCTTTTCAGGGCTCTTAGCCGGATCGCGCCGACAACGCGAATACCAGCATCCCCCCCAGCAAGGGGAAAGCGCCCCATTTGCTCCACAGGTGCCTTCTCTTGGGAAAACTCTCCCAGGAGAGTTTGTCTGTGTCATCTATGCTTGCCTGCAAGTGGCTTTTG